TTAGGAGCGCTGTTATCAGCTTTTCAAGGTAAATCATGTATTTATCATTAAGCATTGTTGATAGAGTTACTAATCTAAACAGAGTTACTGTTTAGATAAAAATAGTTACATTAATTCTGTTCGTTAAAACAAAAAAGAAAATTACAAAGGGACCAAGTTAGGTGAACAAGATTTGAAATTTTATTCTCACCTGGTGGTTTAGACTTTTCGTGTATATTAAGGATGCGGAGAGATCTCTTGTTTCTTCTAAGAGTTCTTTTGTTAATTTAAGAAGATAATTTTTTTATAAATTTGAATAGATTTTAGAAATATTGTGCTTGTTGCAGAGATTATTGAAAATTCAATTTTTGTTAGCTGCACTTTTTTTCACAGAGTGATGTATCGTTGTTTACCGTTTGTAGGACAGCAGAGAAGCAGGACGTGAATTACATCGTCTTACGGCTCTCTCAGCAGCGAATCAGAAGCGAATGCATACAGGTATATTCGATATGGTAGTTGCGTCTATGGGATTAGCTGTGCAGGGTGGCGATGACGACGATGTTGAACGTGGAAGACGGGTTGGCTGTAATGCAAGTTAGAGTGTAGCTCTGTTTGGTTTTCTTGCTATTATCAGTTAATTTATGAGTAGCTTGTGGTTCAATTACGGTAAAAAATCCTAACGTAAAGAAATTGTTTTCATTGTTTAGCAGTCAGAATTGATAGATAGGTATCTTGTGGAAAACATAACGGACATTTCGATTTGCGGCAAGATTCTGCATCTTTTATCGGAAGATGCAGAATGCGCTGGTTAATCAAAAAATAATGATATTCTGCTGAGAGATAGATAAATGTGACAATAGATTTAGGAGTAATATTAAATGTTCATAACTGAATGCCGTGTAGCTTTTCAAAAGATTGTAATTAATCGGAAGAGACTGTAACTTTGATAACATGCAACTTGAAACATTCTTCAGCTACCACTATTTTTGAGTTGTTTCGGAGAAAATTATTTCTTCTAAAAAATCTGATTATGGATTAGGATTGTAACTTTTTTTCGGGCAGTTTCTGCTAGTTGCGTGAAGCTTCTATTCTAATTCTTAGATGTCAGGATGATTCTTGATGTTATTGTCACTTATTTGTTGTGTTTGGAAACTTTCGAAAAAACATTTACCTTCTTAAATTATTTTCTGGTTTTGAAAGCTTTCAGTTCCGTGGCGAGAGTTCTCAGGTGTTTAATTTTCACTAAAGAGCTAAGTTTTTATGAAGGCATATGATATTAGTAAATGTGAATACTGCAACAAATAACTCTGTACAAATAATGAAGTGTTGCTATTTCCTGTCTGTTCATTTATATTTCGTTCGCTAAAATGTATAAATTGATGAAGAGGTTATTGATAAAGTGTATTCGCGTCATTATTTTGATACCTCTCCTCTATAAATATGCGAAATGTATAATTGTTCTCGGCACTTTCTTTTTTGACCTTTCTTGGTTCCATGTAATCTTACACAGGCTTGTAATTTAATCTTCCCTTGCTGCTCCATAACGAACTACAGTTCAGTTGTTACATCAAATCATGAACCCTTCAGCTAGCTGTCGTTTTCACAGTGTCACAATATTACGGCATTTTAAGGTTTTACAGAATAGCGTATAAAGATAATATGAGACGATAGGTTTTGCTGCTTAAGATTGTTAGTTTAGCAAAACAATACAATTTGAAGTTTTGCAGTTTGCTAATGTTCAGTGCAGAAACCTAGGCATGTATTCAACAGTTCATCTGATTAATACCATGACGAAAGATGCCCATTCGTGTAATTCGTGATTAGATTTCTGTTTTCCGATCTTTTATGTATTTCTCATATATTGTTTTCGGTTTATTGGAAACATCTACTGTAAATAGTGTCTTTGCGATGTCATAAAAAATTAAGCCCATCTAATTCTCTCGATAATGATCCTTTACAGCAGTGCGAACACTTTCGAACCAAGAACTTCAGAAGATTCATTAGTTATCTCTAGCTGTACAGTAGTATAGCACACCGGAATGGATGTAATTCCCTAAAATTCGTTTTAAAATTGACGTGCTTTTTCACTGAATTTTTTCTAACGTTGAGAAAAACAATGATCATCTAAGTTGGGCTTGCAATTACTAAGGGACTTGGGTTGACAGCCAAACATGCTAATTGATCACTTAGAGGACACATCTTAATAATGAGGTTACTGCTGTTGAGCGAAGAATGGACGGATGATCTCTAGCCTGCAACGGATGAGCATGCTAACAGGTACTGGCAACTATTTGCTTCTGATTTGCAATACCTTTCTTAGTTTCACTGTCACTGGAGATCAGTAACTGTTAAGGAAAAGCATAATTGTTTTTGGCCTCACTTTGTTACAACTCAGCTTTTCAGAACAAAGGATTTATTCTTGAAAACGAATCCATCTGTGCCGGATTGATCCCTCCAGAATCACTAATTACATATTCATTCATTACCATTTATGAAAACTGTCTGGTTTCAACTGTACATCGTTTAGTCGAAAAAATCCCAAACCAATGATTGCATTTTTGACCGTACTTAGACCAAAAGCGCAATTGCAACAAGCTTCCGGCAACAACAAGAAGTGTATTCGCAATGCTGAATAAAATTATCCGAAGGAACTGACAAAGATACCTGAAACCCTAACTTTTCACTGATCAGTGAAAATGGTCGCCGTCGCCGTTATCAAACTAACATCAGTCATTAGTACTAATCAATACTGTTATCATTATTATTAAATTGCAAAGGGACGTGAACAGTCTTGTCCGGTTCTCACGTAGATATGTTTACCGGAAGTGTGACTTGTAATTGTAATAACGCGTGTTAAGAATATTTTGCAGCCATTCTTACTTTATGATTGTTGGACAGCGACACTGGCTGGCTAATTTTAGGGCCAAGAGTGCATTGGGAGTTGTCTTCGGAAGCAGATAACTGGAGCAACACGCCGAGAACGCGCTACTGCGGGATATCCGGAAGAGCAAACAAACAGTATACCAATTCTCCCGTAAACATTCATCCGGTCTAATCCCCGTTCAGGAAATCACCATCCCTCCTTCTTGCCGTCGTCCGCACCCACCCCAGATCTACCCGTCGAGTACCGGGGAATCACCCGCCACCCCGATTCGACACTCACACCCAACCTCACTACTGAGCCACACATACTGCTTTATTGATTACACTGCTCTGACTCTCCCCAAAACACGTGCTCCCTCATTACCACCTCACTTTTATTCATAGTCGTTGTTATATTACCATACCTTTCCTCTCTGCCACTCTCCCCCTTACGTACTCCTGTCTGTCTGTCTGTTCGTCTGTACATGTGTGTGTCTGTCGGTCAGTCGGTCGATGAGGGAAGTAATTTGTGATGTTGATGTCATCTATTGGACCCGTTCGAATGGATATTGTCATGTATGTGAGTGTGTGTACGTCTATATACGCGTCTGTCCACGAGTGAGTACGTGTGTGTCTGTCTGTCCGTCCGCCTGTCTCTCGGTCGGTCGGTCGGTCGGTCGGTCGGTCGGTCGGCAAATGTGGTGCTGAGTGTGTCTGTGTCTATTGGACCCGTTGGAATAGATATTGTCATCGCAACAAATAAGTTTGTTGCTTTTCAGATTAATCCCTGATTTTGTTGTGCACAGTAACCGGAATGGTAGCTAAGTCAATTGACTGAGGCTACGACAATTTCCGTGTTGCACGTATCACTTGGGTAGTGAGTGGGGAAGTGGGCATTGAGACAAGAGGACAGTGTTATGGGTAAATAGGTGGTTTATGGGTAAGCACAGGAATTAACTGACAAATATAAGTGGGTAAGTCAAGTGATAAATGATATGCAAAGGAAAAAGTAATACTACTCACAGATAAAGTAATAAGTTTATTGGTCATTATCAGTAATTACTGATGGAAGATGAGTGAAAAGTTTGAGTTAGCAGCTGATAATATTAATGAATGAATAATAAGCATTGCTAACAACTTTCAGACAAATAAGTAATAAGTAAGTAAGTGATAGCAAATAAAGTAAAATAAGTAATGCAACATTTGCAGCGCGAATACCAACACAGCAGGCATTCACCTGTAGTGCTACATAGTAAGGAAGCAGTAAGATATGAATAGGTAGGTGAGATTCATCCAGCTATGCAAGCAAGGAAGATTAAAGTGATTGCTTTGATCCTCTCAGGACTGACAATCGATGGAGAGTTGAAATACTGAGGGACGTCACTCCGCATCCGTAACTGTCCTATCTATCCAACGGCAAAACAGGTTTCTTCCCGAATTGTTGCGATTAAGGCAATCAGTCGAAATCCTCGCTGGAAACATATTTCAAAATAATTTGTGCTTTATCATTTTCTGGACGATATTTTTGCTGAATTGTTTGTCGTATGTGATGCTATGGTGGTACTGTATTAAAGGACAAATCTCCCTTAAAGTATATATGCGCAACTTTACATTTATGCTCCTTCTATTTTTTTTTTCCCAAAAAGAATATTATATATCGGAAAAGGTGAATTGAGGATAAAGTCTCGTTTACTTCGAGCATTGTCACTTACTTTGTCGAAAGGTTTTCTGGGAGAATGCATAGCAGAAGCACAGAAAAGTGAAATGGTTGAGTTGAAAACGTACAACTTAAGTCATAATGATAATTCGGGAAAATGTGTATGGTTCAGTTCATAGTGGTAGTTCTGGATAGTACTATTTTTTGCGATTTCTTTATTAACTCTTTTTATAGCCATTTTTGCTATATAACATGGACCATTTAAAAAGTGGGGAACAAAAATTGGGTTGTCAGGAAAGGACCGGAAGCTATTATTTTATTGCACATTAGTAGATAGCATATCCCACGCTGTCCGTGTAAACTGTACCAAATTGAAATGTGTTCCGGAATAGCTTCTGCGATACATAATGAGCTGACATACTGAATAGAGTCGTGGTAGAAAACGAATCATACTTTCAGTGCTGTCCATCTTACACTTCTGAAGTGCAGGACAAAGGACTTTATGAAGTCGAAACGACCCGTGGTGGGTAAGCGTGGGAAACAGAGTAGGAATGCGGCAGGAAATGGGGATTACCTGCAAAATCACATAAGTGAGGAGAAACTAGAGCCTGCTTATGTTGAGCTCGAGAAATGGCGTACCAATCGAATGAATTACCTGAAGTCTCGAGTAAGCCATATTCATCTCAAGTCACCATCACCTACAAATATTGGAGAATCGACCGATGAAAGAAACAAAGATGGGTCCCCAACAACTTCCGAAACCGTGATAGCTTCTCAGTCTCCATTACAGATGGCTCAAGTAAGTTTGCTTTTTCTTTTTCAACATTAAGAGTTTCAATTTTTCCGAGAATAGTGCTGAAATCTGTGATCACTGTCAGAATATAAGCACTGCAAAGGGGAATATTTTGATAATTCTTATAACTGCTTCTCTTCTATTTTGGCAGCTAAGAGCTTACGAGTAAGTGGGAGGAAAATTTGTTAATTAGCTTACATTAATACTGATAGTGTAGAGTTAGCTGAGGTGAAGTCGTCAATATAATTTCAAAAGATATGTATTTGTGGGTTTCGCTTTTATCGCTTTTATTGCAAACCATCCATATATCTATGAGTATGTTTATGACTTCGCAATCCGTTTCAAACCTTTCACTTCGATTTCCTGTCTCATTTTTTTGACTTGAATCCGGTCATATCATCAGAAGCTAGAAAAATAAATCATTTCCCATAGCTTTGCCTCACCAGGTGCGACATTAATCAAATGATTTAATAATGATACCGCCTGGTCCATAGTTGAAACTCATTCCCAAGACTGAAATTCTTTCCCTTCACGTCAAAACGTGATATATTTCTGAATTTCATGCAATTTGCTGTTCTCTCTTACTTCATTATTTCTTTCCTTGTTTACTTTCTTATTTGTAGTACTTTCATATTATTTGTCGATATATCTGTGTCTATCACTATGTGCGGACGCAAGAATGCTCCTTCCAAGCACTAACGTTGCATCCGTGTTTCCTACTCGTAATTCACGTGTCAAACATAACTCGTTGTTAGATCAGATTCTGCTGCTATAGCTATGTGGGAAGGATGGACAGCACGTCGAGCCATATTTGCTTCCTTTCAAAATAGACGTGTTGTTGGGTCAATGAAATTAGCCTAGCATTTGACACGAACACAACTATTCACATTTGTGTCAGCGTTCTTTTGCTGCGCTGTTAAGTGTCCAGCCCGGAAAACAGAAATACTATTACTCTTTGGGATCTCTCAAACATTCCTAATTCTTTTCTGTACAGATTATTCCGGTTACATTAGGGTCGTCAGGGACATTCAACCATAAATTATTAAATAAAATCATATTTGTTTAACTGACCGATTCTTCTCCATTACTTTTCCGTAATTACTTCTTCCATTCTTTTTTGATATTAAACCAACCCATTGTCCAGATTTTTACTTACTGTTTCCATCACACCAGTTTTCGTCATCTTTTTATAGAGTAGTACTTTATTATTTCCTTGTTCAAACCGGCTCTATTAATTGTTTTTGCTTTCGTCTTTCATATCCAGTATTCTGGAATTTGATTCACTAGGTTTGATTAACTCTGCACCAATGATTTTTCTAAAAGTATATCGCGTAATTATGTCTCGTTGCTATGATCAGGTCAGTCTGTATATCTAGAGTATTATCAGGAAGTTTCTGATAAGTGACAATTTGGGATATTCAAGTTGGCGACTGATTTGGTCAAACATTTTCTGCCTCATCTTTATCATAAAATCATGATAAAGATGAGGCAGAAATTTCAATTCCATTGGTTTTGCATTAGCATAGAGTTTGCCTGCATGCATTAATCTGTCCGACTACTCATTTTGAGTGACGGATAAGTATGGTACCGTTATCTCATATGATATTTTGTAAGTACATTATCATATATGTTATGGTATGCTTAGTAATATATTGGCTTGGTGTTTCGAAGTGTTGTTTCACTGAGTTAGAATTTCCGGGATATCCGATTAATTTGAAGCGAAATCAACTAGATTTGGAAAGAAAAAAAGTATCTGATTAAGGATGTTGCGGAAGCTTTGTGAAAAGTTGAGTAGAAATGGAAGTTACTTATTATTGACTCATTTGAACTTTTTGGATCTCTCAGTTGTTATTTTAGGGTATTTTAGAGATTTGTAATATCTTTTCCTTCTATTTTAATTCAACTTCCAAACTTTAGGTAATGAGAGCAAAAACTCCCTTAAATAATCGGAAGCAACTGGTACAAAGAAATGCATCGAAATTGCTATCCAAATCGAATAGCTGTATGCCATCATCGGGAAACAATAATGTTATGTTGAATGGAACAGATACTGTTGTTCCAGAAATTATTAGGAAAACGAAGCGAAAAGTACCGTCACGGCATTTGGATTTTATATCAGATAGTGTAAATGAAAGGAATACAGATAGCAAACATATTACGATCACCAGATGTTTAAAACAATCACATAAATCTTTGGTAAGATATTTGTTCTGGCAGTCGTTGCTTTTTCTTGTTTCTATTGCTTCTACCGCTCTGTTATTAATGTTTCCCGAAATTTCAGGATAAGCAAGCATATCGATGCAGCAGTTGCCCATCTTTTTTCACAACACGTCGTGGAATGGCCAATCACTGTAAACTTCATGGAGCCAACAAAAGATTTAAGTGTGCTTCATGCGATTTTGGGTATATTTACATTTCTCTTTCTTTTTCAAAAGCAGAAGCAACAGCAGCAGTGCTGAATTTAATAAATAATGAGTAGCTGCTGGTCACATGTTAGTAAAACTGTAACTGTAATAAGTTTTCATTGAATGTTGATAACGTTAACTAGATAGCGGAGATGATGTGTGGCTATGAGTACTTCTATAATAATGTTCAAAATCGCCTATTCCGCCGATCTCGACCTTGACTACGATTTACTAAACTAATATTAGTAGTTGAAGCATTTAAATAGTTAGCTATTTGGTGTGCTATTTTTGAAACGGTATGCATATCAAAGAAAGCAGTTCGAGTCGAAATGATTGCCAAAGATCAACTCTTCCATTTTTTTGTAGTGCATTGTCTCAACAGAATTTCATTTGATACATACGAATCATAGACGTAGTAATTTGAATGCTTTTCATACGAAAGTTTGACAATGAGATTATTAAGGATTAGTTAACTTTAAAATGTCACTACTACTTTATCGCGCTCAACTGTTCCCTCGTATAATTTTAAAATAAATTATGGGCAGATGTGTACGGTGAAGCTTCATAATTTATCTACTTTTATCAGATATAGACTTCATGTCAATAATCGAAACTCGATTTTAGAAACATTTGTCGCAAATAATTAAGGGATATATTTCCCGTTGTAAGTTATTGTCTCATTTAATGAAAATATCGATTTGATCTGTTTTTGTATTAAATGATTGTTGTTGCAGTTGCGATAACTACAAAACACTTCAAATGCATAAGGCGTTTCACACGGCAGCGAGCAAGGAAACATCCGAAAACGAAAACATAGCTTCGACCCACCTTGCTCTGGTATAGTAATTTCATAGCGTTTTTGACATTGGTAGAGGATTAAAGGCTCACCGCGCCTCATTTCCTTTCCATAAGTCTGACAACAACAAAAGCAACAGCACAGTAGCAGATTCTTCTTTCCTATCCAGTCACGTTAGTAGTGACAATTATACTTATGTCATTACACAATAGATTGTGACCCGTGGATTATGAAACGAAATAACAGAATTTAATTACAACTTTACCTTGTTTCCTTCCCCGTAGAGTACACGCCTTGGAAGAACTGTACAAAATTTGCTGAAAGTCATTTCTTGATCCTCATTAAATTCGACATCAAATAATCTTTAACGAAACAGCGGCAAATGAGTGATAAACGCCTTTTTATTTTTTTAAAAGTAATCCGCTTTTTATAGGTAATTGATAGTTGTGCTGACAATGAAAATGTTAAAAGGGGAACGAAGGGTATAGATGAGAAGACAGGTTTGCTTTCACAGTTTAAGCGTTTTTGAAATTTAAACGATGCTAATAACTAGTACTTTTTCATTTTCATTCAAACATAACTCATATTGTTATTAAACTAATTTAATCTTTGTACTGCACATTTTACAATCACTAGACTCAGCTCGTGCTGTATATTCAGCATCTTTTCACTCTTTAAGCTTCTGCGAATGATCTGCGAACATTTGAAATCAAAACTGATAAATCAAAATCTTTGCTAGATTAATTCTCCATTTGTTCCAGTTTTCCAGGTTCAGTTATTACATCTAATCGCGGATTCGCTTGCATTGAATGTCCGTTCATATCGCGTGACCAGAATCGATTACAGAAACATCTCGTTGGACATCGCCGAACGAATGGATTCAAATGTTCGCTATGCACTTATATGTTAGTTTACACCTCTCTTTGATATCTTTAATCGCTTCTCAAAAATCATGTCCAACAGTTCTGTTTATATAAAGTTTGTCATGTAGCTTCTTCAGTAACAGATTTGCCTTTCATATAGACGGTATGTTTCGGTAAAATATCCGGAAGTTAACAGAAATATGAAAAAACAATTGTTAAATCACCGACAATCTGACCGAAGTTTAGGCAGTGAAATCATCATATTTATCAGTAGCTTCTTGCTCAACTTTGTTAGCAAATAAATATTAAAATAGGTATAATGCTGGAAGTGTAAAAATAAGACATCCATAACCATCGATAAACTGTTTTTTTTTTTGAACTTTTTAAAATTATAAGTAATAATAGTAGTAATAATAAGTAATAAATAATAATAATTATTATTATAAAAAATAGTAATAATGGTATAACTGTATGTCTTTATAATTTTGTGGCTTCCAGTGTACATTCATATATGTGTTTTGCTGGGTGAAAGATCGCCAGCTAGTTATGAAACTTGTGAGAAATATTACAAAGATGTAATCAGTTGGCAGTACCTCGGCAGTATTATGGATCATTCAATCATTGCTCACTTCTTTCCTTGCTTCTGTTTTGCCTTTCTTAAATTTTTCGCTTATCTCTACACATGTCACTCACACTTTATTTCTTATAATGAATTAGAGTATTTTCCATTGCCCTTTGACCCTAGATCACAGTAAACAGGTAATAACTTATAGCAATGTCCTTTGATGCTCACAGGTCCTCTACGTGAAGTTTTGTCCAGTTTTGAAGATTTTCCTTAGAAGCATCGTTATATTACTTATAGGAGTACATCAGCTGGATTCCTGAAGCGTCACTGCGAACTGCATAAGCCACAAATATATCAGTGGCCACCTGTTTACATTGGCAAGCGTCCTTCACTTGCTACACCTGCTGCGAGGAATACACCAGATCCTGTAGCGTCTGAAGGTAGATTTCTGAACCTGCTCATAGCTCAGTACCCAATAACTGCGTAAGCATGTGATGGAATTGAAGCGAGTCTGAACTAAGACAGTCACTGTGACCTGTCTAATGATTTTATCGAGCAGTGATTAGTGTTTGCACTTCGATTAGAAAAGATATTTGATTTGAAGAGTGCGAGGCTGGTATTTTATTAATAATGGAGCAGTAGTGCGCTTGCATAATTTGGGTAGCGGAGAAAAAATGAGAGTCTTAATTTCACTTGGTTTCTGCCTTGTGCTTTCATATCAGTAATTATCTCGAACATTTTAATATTTAATTGTATTTCATTCGTCGTAAATGGGAACCAGAATTTCGCCCAGCAAATTTTGCTGGTATATGTTTAACACTGATAAATAATATTTAATAACTTTTATAGGATACGAAGAGCAGCAAAAAACTTCGAGAAGTTTGATTGTATCACCTTTGACAACTCCTTTTGTTAGCGAGAAGCAACCTATAATAACTGACCATTCTGATCACCAACCTCTAATACATCGTTCGAGGGTATTGTTTAGTTTCAATCCTTTAAATTTGTGTGATTTAGAATTAAAAGCATTATTTCTATTTTAGCTGTAAGCATTTTTATACAAAGATGATTGAAGCACTTATGATTACAAAAGATTGTTAGAATGAGACATGCAAGGCATGCCCGAAAAGTGTGAGAATGCTCAACATGTTGTTTTGCAGTGATGTATTCCTTCCTTACTTAACTTAAGTGTTGTAGAATACTTTGAAATAAAACCTGTTTTTTCAATCAAATGGCATATAGCTCTGGGATCAGAAATACCCTTCCTTGATGATAATTCATTTTAAGTCGAACTGGTGACAATAAAACTGAAATTTTGACTTTACCATTAGAAGTTATTTTAAATCTCATTTCAGCGAAAGTATTTATGCGGCTTTTGTCGTCGTCATTTCAAGAGTTATACCCTTCGTCTCTTACATTGCATTATCAGACACTCGCAGAATATTGCAAAGGAAAAATATAAATCATTACTGAGGGAACGATTGAACATGTGCTACGGTGCTGGTGATACAACGTTTGTTTCTTCTCTTTACGTCTCAATGATACCGTTTTATCACTAATCAATCTAGGATTACCCTTTTACTGAAAAATTTCCGAACTGGATCCGTAGAATATCATTTTGAAAATTGCGCTTCATAAATAATGTTTTTTTTCTGTACATCGCATGATATTTCATCAGGATTTCAATTATTTTTTTAATTATGTTCTGTTTTGCCTTTCCTATCCCCATGTGTTACAAGAAATAATCAGTAATAGTTGTTGAACTATCACAAGAAATTTAAAAAAAGATTCAAACAAATATTGGCTTAAATCACAATTGATTATTTTATTTTCACATTTATCGTTCCATATATTGTAAAGAGACAATGGAGATTGTAAAATTTATTTTGCTGAAATACTCCAAAAGTTTTCTTGTAACAAAAAGAAAAAAAAAATCAGTTAAGTAAAATAAGAGTTGAAAACATCATTTTCAGAGAAGAAACAACAGATAACTATAGTGTACCAACACGATCTGTTCATCACTGTTCTCACTGTCCCTTTACTTGCAAGCAAAAATCTCGTTTGCTGCGGCATGAAAATAAGCATATTGTAAAAGCCGAACATGAAGTTAGTTTTGCAACCGGATTATTACATCCTTTTCTCATGAATGTTGGTCTTTCATCTGATAATCTTTATAATTGTTTAATGCCGAAAATGGCTAAGAATGTGGTGGTGCAGCATTTTCTCTTATAACCTATATTTCCAGTGTAAATACTGTACGTTCTCATGCCGTTCAACAGTTGTACTGGTGCAACATCTACGACTTCACCAGCCGATCCCTAGGCTTCTTCAAATGCCTGGGCGCCCAAAAGATCTGCACTCTGAGAAAGCTTCGACCTCTGCCTTTGTACGTACACTTTGTATTTTGTTACGCTTCCCCTTATTCCTCATTCATTCATTTATTCTGTCTTCTACTGGAAATAAATGAAGCAATAGTTTCCATTCGCGAAGTGTTCTTTATCTTTTCTATCCCTTCTATTATAAAGAAGGGATTTACATGAAAAATATGCTTTGATCTTCACACTTATTTGTAATTATAGAAAGTGGAGAAGTGCAGTGAATGTCCCTATACAAGCCGACATATTTGCGACTTGCGAACTCATGCACAGATGCATATCGGGAAACGAGAATTTGCATGCGGGCAGTGTACATATAGTACAAAGCGATCTCACGTTCTCGATGCACACTTACAACTTCATATGGCTGAAAGAAAAGGCATCACTTCCGTTTCCAATAAGGTAATCACAATGCTTCTTCTACTCATACTTTCGATAACCAACTTTTCAGGTCAAACAACTCAAATATGTGTCTAAAATAATACGTGAGTGGTTTTGCATATATTGCTCAGAAATCTAGCATTCTTGTCGATACGCGACAGAGCTAGCTATTTTTCCATTCTACTTAAAGTGGTTATTTATATCAGAAATCGCTGATTATTTTAGTGATTGCATCTAGCTCATGATAATTGGTATAGAATTCGGAATAAGTTGCATTTCATATATCAGCATGCATAGCAGCATTCTTCGAAATCTCTTTTAAATACCGCTAGTAAAACAAACGAAACTCACTTGAACTGAATTTCTCAACTTCATGTATGGTTGAGAATTGTAGTATAATAATAATCGAATGATTGAAGAGAGTGCCGTATTATTTCATAGATAGCTAGAGGTCATTGCTGCAGTGCTTAATACTCCTCTCTGCCCCTTTCCTGGTCATTCAGTATCGCAGTTATGAATTATTAGTCCTTCAGAAAGCTTGGGACATAATTGGTCAAATTCTTCGGTTTTTAAAAGACTGTTAACTAACTGGAATATGGTGTACATGATTGGCTATAGAGGTCAAATCAATTCTTAGCTAACTGAGAAGCCAGTTTTGCTGTGTTTATCTCTATGTTTTAAAATATAAGGTTGCAACATTATTATTTTTTTGATCTATGCACGATTGTTACACTGAAGCTCTTGTTCAAATACGTTTTTGGATTAGGAGAGTATTACGCGTGGATTAATGTGATAGATTGCAATCTTCCATTTAGATTGCTTTTTCATAAAATCTATTAAATAGAATATTGATTAAAATCATTCGTTCTTATGTGCAGATGCGGAAAGGAGATGACTTCAGAAATCATTCTATTTTACGGCGCAATGGCAAAATTGTAGGAGAACGAAGTGGTCATCAATTTTCAAACGTGTATATTTGTCGTTGGTGTCCCTATAGAACACGAATATGTGCCACACTTTTTATCCATCACAGGTTAATTTCATAGATAAAATTGTTGTAAGGTATATTATGTTATGAAATTGTTGTAAGGCGTCATATTACTTTTACGGTTTTAGACGTTTAGTTTTTTCAGACATGCATTTTTGCTTTTAATCATTGCAGTTAAAGTTTGGATGTTACGGTGCTATGTAAAAGATGGCTTTGTAAAAAAAAAAAATCTAAATGAACATTGGAATTAAGGAATCATTTATGGAATGGTCGATTACGCTGCGAAAAGTGTACGTTCAGTACTTGTTACGAAAGGAAGTTACGCGACCACGAGAAGTTACATTTACCGACTGAACCATTCTCCAGTACTCCATCAAGCAAACCTTCTACTGTTAACAACAAATCCGCTAAGCTTCCAAATGGCGAATATTCTTGCCAGTAAGTTAGCAGTTTTGTTGGAAGTTCTAGCTAACTATTTTGTTGCAACGATTATAAAAATGAGAGCCATAGATTTTTTTTTTAGTTTCGGGTGGTTGTTGTATTTTCCGCCATCATTGGGTTTTCATTCATTTATTTAAAAAAAAAATTCTTCGCGGATGAGCCAAAACAGTTTTTTCTCAATGAAATGTGTATAGTTGAAATATTTGCTGGGAAGTTTATTGGTAATGTGAATAAATTGAAACTTCTTTTACAAGTATTTGGACTCGAAATTCAGTTTTTATTTTCAGTTATCATTGATTTTATTCTTTGTTCTCTTTGAGGGAGTGCCCATTTACGTGTAGTGGTTATGGGAAATTTTGGCACCATAAGCAAAAGCATCAGAAGCCATCACGCTATCAGTGTGATTTATGTAGCTATAGCGTCGGTTCAAATTTCTGTTTGATTAAGCATCGCCAATGCCACAAGAATCACAATAATCTGGAAAATTGTGATGCGAAAATCGAAAAATTCATGTAAAAAATTTTTATCTTTCCTGCAACTAGTTTTTCTAAATTATTTATATACTTTGTAAGTGCATTTAAGACGTTTGAACGAAAGTTTTAATTCAACAGTTATAGATTTAAGAAATAAAATAGACAAATTACATACTTAGCTTTAAACAAGCGTATAAAAGGTACTGAAGATAGTTCTTGATGATGTAGATTATTTCACTCTTTGCACCCTTTCTTTCTTTCTTTCTCCACGCAGTCTTTTTTAGAGTTGTGAAAAATTGTTATTCGGAAGAAATTAATGCTAATGGAATGAATGTAGCGGAAACAGAAGTGAAGGAGGAACAGAAAGGTTGCATAATAAATTCGACTGATGAACTCTTGCTCAGTTGTCCAAAGGATGCAAAAACATATCAGTTCAGTTTGAGTCGTATTGCCTTGAAACTACCAAATTTTAAAGTGTCGAATGATGCAGGTAAAATTTAACATTGCTGACTTCATTTTCTTAATTATTTGGCGATACCGAATGAAGTTAGTTCTGTATAGTGTAAATGCCTCTTTTTTCTTAGCTGATCGTAGAGCAGCTGGAATTCTACAGGGAATATTTATTATTATTATTATTATTATTATTATTATTATTATTATTATTATTATTATTATTATTATTACTCTTAAAATTACTGTTTAGAATCATTGCCTAAGACATTTCGCTGCAAAGAGTGTCCTTATTTTGGAACTGATGAAGTGCTTTTCAAGTATCATGAAGGAATGCATGTCGGACATCGTCAGTATAGTTGCAATTTATGTACATACAGCTCTCTTTGTCCCATTTCTTTACATAGGCATTTGAACCTACATTTTCCTTCATTGTCATCTCGTTCGGCTGCAAAAAATAGGTTAGTTTTTTATTCTTATGTCAAGTCTTCTCATCAGCTTCTTTGAAAATTGAAAAAGCAAGTGAAAACTTGGTGAGGCATTTTAGAAAAAAGAAAAAAAAAGGTTTTCAAGACTGGGATTATTGTCTCAACCTAAAGATTGTAATTATGGATAGAATTAGGAAAACGATGTATTACAAATACTTTTTGTTGTGCTGGGCTATGTTATGCCGTTATCATTCGAAATTCGTATCAAAATATTTTTAGGAAGCGATTACTAAGACATCGTTATCATCAGAGCCCTGAAACCATCCCTTCAGATGTTAAAGTTCATCAGTGCACTATATGTTCGTACAAAACTGCCTACGAGGATCGCTTTGAGCAGCATCGTCTTGATCATGCTCTGGTTGGCATCTTGATTTCATTTTTAAATCTGCAGACTTTTTGAGCCTTGAATTTTACCATCTTTAGTTGGAGTACTGGAAAGAAATAATACATTTGTTTCTTTAATTATAGACTTTCGTAGTCTTCATTATCTTGATGAGATGGTGCTAAATGATGAATAGATTTTGTTCTTCATGGTTCTTATATGTTGAATTGAGAGGGACTTCAAATTTGTAGCACATACAACAGCGGTTGACAACGTCCATCAAGCGAACAGCACAAAATACTTTTGAACCATTTGTGAGGCCGAAAATTCGTCGACCGGATAAACGCTCAGACAGACAGGTTAGTGATCTTAGGGTCATACTATACTTTCGTAATAGTTCTACTAAGTTTTAAAATGGAAATGTAACTCTGATCCTTTCTTATGTATAATTTATGATGTGAAAAATTCATAAGGAAAATGTGAAGAAATTTTATCTTTTGGAATTTGCAAAATTTGAAGTTATTATTTAAAAAAAAAAAAAAACTAGTCTAAATTGAACTTGAGTTAGGGATGAGTTTTCCTAATGTTTTAAGTTTGGACCTAATCATATTCCAAGTTTTTTTGTTTTACACATTTTTTTTACATGAGTTACTCACACTACTACACTTCATACAATAAAAATGCAAAAGACTTAGTATTATTCTTAGTATCATTACTTAAACCATTCATGAAAAGAATTAAATATTGAGTTTGCATTAAATGTCAGAATTTTCAGTTCACCTGTAGCAGATGCTCTTTCCGATGCGATACAATCATAGCATACAATACTCACTTTGAAAAACACGTGGTAAAATCGTTCTTCACATGCAAACTTTGTGATTATTCATCAGAAACTAAAAATGTTGTTGATTTTCACGTTGCTACGCATCACTTGGATGTACCAATATCGTTCTTTTACAAAAAAGCTATCACGAATCGCAATGAATCGCAGGCATTGATTTATTTTTTAGCACGCATTTAATGATTTGTTTCATAATACATTCATTTTTCAATGAGGCACGATAAATCCTAATTCAATTGTTGATTTTATGCTTCTGACTTTGTTGAAACTGATTCAATAAAAATGCATAGCTTGAATTATTAAATAAGAAAATTTGAACTGAGCTTAATGTTAAATTAAGTAAAATATTTTTGTCTTAAAAAGTGGTTCATTATCTTACCAAATATTTTATAATTTGATGAAAAATGATTTAGTTTGAATTTTAGACATAGATATAGTCATTCTTCATTACCTGAAGGACATTTATATGGACAAGCAAAAATATGGTTGGTAAGATGATGAACCATTTTTGACTATTTTTAGGTTAACACTGTGAAGAAACAATGACTTAAAATTGAAACCATATGTAAATATTGACTTCTAAAGCGCTTTTTCCTGAAGATTAAGAAACTAATTTGTAATTTCGTTTGTACATGATTTCATTTTATAGATCAAGTTGAAAGATGATGTGGGCTGCAAGAAATATCCCCGGCAAGAGTTGAGTTGTTGTCGATGTAATTACCGTACGTTTGTGGTGGTCGAATTTACACATCACTGGGAACGAATGCACTGTGATCGGGCTCAAAAGGGTGATCGACGGATTGCCGAGGAACTCCGTATGGATATGGTGCACTCAAGCTGGATTAGAACTGTTGATAATTAGTAGTATTGGTTGAATTGTTTTGAAGTCCTTCTTTCATTTGTTAAATGTGACAGTCTTTCATTCTCACTTTCTCATCAGAATTTCTCATCTGTTTGTTTGATATTGATAGTTGAGATCAGTGCTGAAGTCTTGGATATATCTGGTCGGGCGGACTTTAGCTGGATGATTATTAGGACAACTAATTGACCTTTTAAGTAGTTCTATAAAATATATTAGCAAGAGTTGCAGCATTGTTCTGAAAAAGGAATAATAAACTGGCAATGTGTGAAAAAAAACGAATTAGTGGAAAGTTCTTTGTATTCAGGGAATGATATTCAGGCAAAACTTTGTTCACTCATTTCTTCTAGTTCTTTTTTCATTATTTCTTTCACTTTCACTTTATCTACAATAACATGTCACTCCTCGTACTATTCATAATTTCTCGATTCATTCAGAGCTCAAATTGCTTCTGTACAATATATATCCATTTCATGCTAGAGTGAAATATTTGTGAAAGGGCTTTTACCAGAGTAAGTTATCCTTAATAATTAGCAGAAAAATATTTATACTCTCCTTCTTTTCACCTGACGTATGTATATTAAGCTGAGTTTAAAGGCGAAGTCTGCATTTCAAGCACCTTTGCGTTTGAAACGGGTAACTGTCTCGCAGACACAACTGTGCTAAACATATATGCTCAAACCAGTTACCTCTAGACGCTACCTCATTACCTTACTCATTTAATTTTTTCCTCCTTTTTTTTGAAGAAGTGGACTACGTAGGTGAGTTTCACCATGAGAATTTCTTTTCATATTTCGGTAGTACTGAATATCGTTCAAATATGAATTGGATTATTTTTTCTGGTAATACTCTTCCGGATTTCTATTCTAGTCTACTTTCTGCAGGGTTCATATGATTTCATTCAACTGTACTGGTGACTATTCAATTTCAATTCAAGGACTATTAGTATTTTTCCTTTTTTGGTACTTGGTATTATTATTTATTATTATTATTAAGTACTACTACTACTACCAATTATTATTATTATTATTGTTATTGTTATCAATCGTCTCGTGTTTATTTGAAGGAGAAAATTTTTCTAAACAAGAATAATGTGTGATAAAACCTCTGTGCGTCTTTCAGTCCTACATGGAATCTTTCACTGATTCGTATCAATTCACACATCTATTTTTGTTCTTGTTTCTTATCGCCATATCATCTCTTATTATATACTCTGGTCAGTTAATCTTCAACCAAATGTATTGTTTTACCACTTCTGTAAGTCATTATTGCTGTTACTCATTTATACAATATTAGTATAATAAAAAACTGTCTCGCATTGATCTTTCGGATTTAAGCAGAAGTTAACCAAATGATAGGTAAAACTACCCAGAGGTCATCATTCGAACAACGAGAGTGGACACATACTGTGCGGATGGAAATGCTAGATATGGTATCACTGTTTGCAAAACTTGGTAGTATTGCCATTAATCTGCGAGGCGTGAGGTAGGTACCTGCGAATGGTACCTTACGATTCCCCCAGAACTGTGGGAGATCAGAAACTGCCACTGAGAGCACCCGGGGCGAACCTCCTCGGACGCACAAACTTTCGAGATTCTGTTCAGTTCAGTGAGCACTCCTGCTTTCTGTCTGCACATCCCTGCCTCCCAACTTTTTACACTGTCGCAGCTCAGGCCCGTTGCCACGTGTCTCTCTCAGTTCCCTTCTATCTCGATAGGGGTGTGGTTAACTGCAAGAGCACGTTGCGCAGAGAGGAGCGGAGATGTGGCTAGCTGGTTATGCATGTGCGGTGTGCGCGTGTGCGTGGGTTGTACGTGCGTGGGCGGTGTGTCTGTGTGCATGTGGGCACGTGTTGCATGTACGTGTGACATGAACTAACGTATATATGTGAAGACTCGATGAGCGGGGGAGTATTTGTTGAGGTATTTCATATAGGTGTGAGGGAACAGGGAGAATTGACTTGACGGGGATGAATTGTTCTCACGGATTTATTGCATGTGTTAACCGTTTTTCACATGTTATTACTTATCAACTCTCGTTATAGAAATATTGCGACAAAACAGTAAATAGCTACACAATGCGGAATGTATCACTTGGTGTCACGCTATTATATGTTATTCAGTCGAAGTGAAATGTGTATATTTCAATGTTCATCTCTTTGCTGTCCAATTTGCTTCCCTCGTCGTTTATGCGCTTCCTTATACTGAGACTATTTTTTTTTTTTATAACTTACTCTCAAAATATGTGTTAAGTGATCGCTTCATCACCACTGACATGAAAAATGAATAGGAATAATTTGCGATGAGGTGAAGCAAAATATTGGAGAGGTGCAGGAATCAAACAAAGGGATAGTTTGAAAAAGGAAATTAGCAAGTGCGAATTTATGAACTTTAAAGAACTTCGGTCGAAATTACCCTTCTTCGATCTTTCTTTTTGTTGAAGATTGGACTTTCGTTCACTTTTCTGTTTTTTGAGTCACTTTTAACAAAGTGAGTCAAAAAAGCGTCAATTATTTGCCACAAATAGCTGTGTAAATTGTACTTCTAATATCGCAGGTTTTGTGTTCATCGCCCTTTTTTACACTACACATTATTAGAATACTTGATGTTGTGTATGACGAAGAAGCTAGAAGCTAAATGCATATACTCAATGAGTTGTCTTTTCTTTTCTTTTATGGTGCTTGTTGGGGGGCGCGTAATGTTTGCATAATGTCTAGGATACCGGGAAACACGATACAGTGTTGTATGGATAAGGTAGATGGAAAAATAATTGATTATTTTACGAGGTATTTATAGCCTGTGTTATGTCTTTGGTCATTTCTACTGACTACTTGATCTACTTTAATACAACGCAAACACGGTAGTTCTGCCGATAGCGATACCACCTATTCCATATATCCTTCATTTGGTGTATTTTTAGGTTGTTTTATTGTTGTCATATTTCTTCTAAGCAATGTGCTTTGCGTAGAATTCTATATGTTACGTATTCGCAAGCTTTTACATGTTTTCATATGTACTTCACTCATGGTGTACAGATTTTCAGATCTTTCCGTAATTAACACTGCCAATCCTATGATACACGGAACGATACACGTTGGTTTACATACTCCTATGTGTTTAAAATGTGTAAGTAATATGGATAGGTACTTATAATAGATACTTAGATATCTGTTGAAGAAATGTTCATAATATTGAGGAAATGTTCAGCATAATATATGTAAGGATGTATTATAAGAAATGCGTAAAAGTCAAGCGTAATGTCTGCGATTATACCTTGTGAATGTGTCGTTGCTGCCATGCTATGAGATAGCGTATTATCGTCTTCAGGGTAGGTAGGGTTACTTTTTGCATTTTTCATTCTGGCTGCATAATTTGTGGCATAATGGCACAACAAACTCCCTACATTGGAAGCAGAATAAGTTTGATTTCTAAACTCGATATACGCTACGAGGGAATATTGTACACCGTCGATACCAATGAATCAACTATTGCTCTTGCCAAAGGTTGCTGTATCGAATTTCTACTTATGCATATTTAGTATTGTTCTTTGAATATACATGACTAACTCGGTAACATCAAATCAAATATTAGATTGAGTTATCGGTTTTATGCATCACTAATACCACTGATTAACGTTATACATGGATTAATAAAGATCACTTTACATTTTGCTTGTTTAGTATGAAAAATTGAACTGGTAGACTAAGAACTGCAAATAGAAACCACAGCTTAAGCAACCAATAAAAAGAATGATAATTCATAATAGGATCTTGATCCATCCGACTCAGGAGGAGGTCAGTGGCCATCAATACATATGTGATTTAAGTGTATCTTATATGAAGCTTTATGTTCATATAAGCTTTTGTTACAGCTATTCCTCAGCGAAACGTCTAAGTCGGAGCAGTTTTTTACTTGCCATTTTAGATTATTAAATTAGTTCAATTTGCTGCATTTTTCCTACACTCTTCTAACGTGATATAGTTCAGTGCGTTCGTTCGGAACGGAAGACAGACCAACACCAAATCCAGTTGCTGCTCGTGATGACATATATGAATACATTATTTTCAAAGCAACTGATATCAAAGATCTAATTGTGTGTGAAACGCCAAAACCGGTACCTCAACTTGCTAGCGGCTTGGCATATGACCCAGCCATATTATCGATTTCTTCAGGACGTACCATCCCAATGCATCCCTCAGTTCCTGGTGTACCTATGGGTAGCAACATTATTAGCGCTGGATGTGAGTTCTTTCTCAACTTGACCAGCTTGCTTAATTTTAAATTTAGAAATTAAAATTAGTTGATTATACTTGATCTTTTCCTCACCACGTTCTACATGAAGTTTGTGAAAAATATTTTTCTACAAATTAAAATAATATAAAGATAGCTTTACCATGAATTAACTCAGATCAAAAATGGAATATCGAAGATAATATACTATTGTATCAATTTCTGACATATTATTTATTTATTTGTTTACAGCAGCTAATTTGAATGTATTTGAAGCGTCGCGTTCTGGTACACCGAATCGCATTTCTCCAGCTGAAGATCCGGCACATTCGCGTGCTCCTGGGGCAGGACGCAATCAACGTACAGGTTCATTGCCAAGTGCAGTGCAGCCCACGACAGGTACTAAAAACCGTGGTGGTTTCCAACAGCAGATACATCAAGGAACACTTAATACCGGACGTCAGTTTACACATGATTGAGGCTTTGAGGCTTTATCGCTATAAGGAGGGAGCTTAAGCCGTACTTCCTTTTTTGACATTTTCCCTGTTGAATATTTTGTTTTTTCTTTCCCCATTTCGCACAACAATTTAAGCTCTTTTTAGTTGGTCAATATAACTATTTTTTTTAGTCTAATCTTTCTATTTTTTATATAATCGCTTTTTTAATTAGTAGCGAATTATGATGGCCGAGACTTAGCATCAGTTCATTATATGTGCATTAATTTGCGCACAAATTGTAAATCATAATGCGTATTTCCTTTGCATTCTTTGGAGTGCTGGTATGTCACAGAACGAATGATAGGATTTTGATGCATCCACTAATTCAGAGTTTTCATGCTGGTTAAAGCATGCTGTGATTGCTTTTTTGATTCCTTCGCTTATAGGTGTACTTGATCACTTTTACTATATATATATCAAGTGCAAACTGCTATATTTTGTGAATGAGTTTAACCAAGTAGCTCATGTATTTAATTCCAAAACTCTAAATTATTTTCAATTTAGGACAGCAGAATTATCCAAATGTTGGGACTTATCAGGGTAGCTATGGAAGAGGTGGGCAGCAGAATAATTATCGTGAGAGTCGTGGAGGTTTCTTCACTCGTGGAGGTAGTGTAAATTATCAACGCGGTGGAGGAGGTCATCGTGGTGGAATTGGTGGAAAGCCGCAATCTAAAGAGAAGCTGAAGTTTGAAAGTGACTACGACTTTGAGAAGGCCAACGAACAATTCCAGGAAACACTGAATCATATCAGTCTCGATCTTAAGAAAACCAAGCTGGAAGGTTAGTTATTGTGCTTTGTATAGTGCTTTTTGCATATTACTAATGTCGTATCATTTCAGCAACTATCAAATTCTTTTGTTTGAGGCGAAAATAGGATTGCTTGATTTCTGAATGCCTAATCCTTTTCACTTAACTGCTGTTTTGCTTTGTATCTTTATTTACCATGATGTTTAGAATTGCATTTGATTACAGCAAGTGGGGATGCAGTAGTATTAAAGTATCCTTCCAATAATATTAGTCACTACTGAACTGAATGAATATAGGCCAGTTCCTATAATTCTGATGTTGACATTGTTTAGACGTTCAGTTCTATTGCAAATCGAAACTAACACTGTCTGTATCTCATAGTTGGCGTAATTGTTGACTCTATACTATTTCTACTCAGCATTCAACTCATGCATTCTTCAGAATTCTTTAGGAGAGACATGGGAAGGTCCATGGTTCTTCGCTTTTTTTGGATATTTTTTTTAGATGGAAGTAAGAAGTCAGGAACGGGATCTGATGCTGGTTCAGATGTCATCGAAGAAGAAGTCACTGAAAATGGCCAGGAGGAACAAGAAAAGCGGTATTATGATAAAAGTTCATCGTTTTTCGATCGAATTTCATGTGAAGCGCTTGAAAAACAAGAAGGGTATGTTGTGCTTTTTTTCATTATTATTACCATTTTATCGTTGTAAGAAAATGTGAGTTTTCTGAGTGTTCTTTCTAATGCATGAGTCGAAACTTTTCTTAATCTTAATATAGGAAGCCACGTACGGACTGGAGAAAGGAGCGTGAGACAAACCAAGAGACATTTGGACATTCCGCGGTGCGCTCGCTTACATATCGCCGCCCTCGAGGATTCATGAGTGGTCGTGGTGGCCGTAGTGGACACATGAATAGTGCTTATCGTTACAGTTCTGGTAGGCCTTGATAAATTGTACATATTGTTAGTGCTTATAGGTAACTCAATATATGGTCCCATTTCTTAGTTCTATCAGCCGTGCTTTTACCATGTTCTATGTATGGCTCAGGAAAGTGACAAATGTGGTTGCTTTAAGCTCAGTGCATTATTTAACTTACTGATGATATTTATTTATTGGAATCGTTTTATTTTTCTCAATATCGGTGATTAGAAATTCAGTACAGTTTTAGGAGTTTTATTCACATTTCAAAGTAATAAGGGACTTTCGTTTTTGAAAAAAAACTAAGTGGATGTAGCTGTTATACATTTCCTGGTATTGACAGATACAAAGTGAAGTCTTCGTAAAAGTTAAGATTTATCAACTAGCTTGGAATTCGATTTTCCTAATATAAGTTTATCTTTCCAGGCTACAACTACGGAAATCAGCAACGAAGCAGTTACGGCAATTTCCACAACAATTATAATCGTCGGAACAATTATCGTAGTAGCGCCAGCTATTCTGGCCAATAAGTAGAGTAGGATTAAAATGGGATACGTCATTTCCTTCATGTTATTAAAAACTGACTGTTTCTCTTTTTTCTCAGTTATGGTTATAATTTGTTATAATCTCAGAAGTTTATCTTGGAAGTTCATTTTTTCTTATCATATTTCAACTTGGCAAGACTTTTGCAAGTTCCTTTTCCTTTTTTGAAACTGATATTCTGCATTTGGCTGGAAAGCGGAAAGTAGAAAGAGGTAAGAATATGTTTTTTTTTTTTTTTTTTTAATTCTGGAAAGGGTATATGAAAATGTTTTTTTAATTCTGGAAAGGTATAGTTGTTCTAAGGAGCTGATTGAGTACAGACTTCAAATTTTGGGATTTTCCAAAGGAGGTGAACATTAAATATTGTGCAGAGTTTAGAAGAGATTACAGTGTTGACTGATGATCTATTTACCACTTTTCAAGCTTATCTAAATTAATTTCAACTTAGGAATATTCATCTACTTAGATGTTATTGGCCTGGGAAATAGTGGAGCGCTGTTAGTAATAGTAGAAAATTATTAATCTGGTAAGCTAGCGATATGACTTTTTTCTAATAATTTTGAAAACAGACATTCCCTCGCGTGATTTGTCTTCATCTGCCTTGTTGATACAATTGTATGCCCTTTTGCTTACGGTACGTAATTGCGTTCATACACGCGCGATTTGTGTATGGTAGTATTTGTGGAAATGTTTTTAAAAACGATAAGTACTTTTTTGTTTTATGTTTGTTTCCTTGAAGTTTTTTCTGATGCATAATTTTATGAATCTACTACTTTTGCAAAACAAACGGCCAGCATTTCTTTTACCATTTCTTGGACAACATTGCGCTTGTTTTGATAAGTTGTTATCAGTTCAAATATATGGAACATTTGATTATTTTGCTGTAAGAAGTGTAGCTATTTCTCTCAGTTTTGCGTTTAATGGTTCGTTGTAAATTGTCGACTTTCCCGCAATAACGTCCACATGAATGCATCATTCGCTGTATGCCATAGAGTGGCACATATAAAGAGGTTTTATCGATATGATATACTTTATTGTAGCTAATAAAAATGTTGTTTAATGGAGATCACATTGCTTTAACTTTCAACAAAGTGGCGAAAGAAAAATTTTGCAGTTTTGTCATCGTCACTGGTAGAAGTAATGGTAGTTGGCGTTATGGGAGTCAGAGGAGCTGAGACACAGGTAGTAGCGCTTCCCGGTTTAATTTCATCCGTGACATTCAGTTGAGTAGTCAATGCTGTGCTCTGCGTGCTGCGCGAAGCACGCATGTCTAGCAGCGATCTGATCGCATAATCTTTTTTAAAAAGGTGACGCGATGCATGTTGCGTTGATCGTCGTCGATACGGTGGCTTGCTGATATGGGATGGTGGTGATATGATACAGCGGTGGGCTAGACTTATCTGAAGAGCACAGCACTCTCGATCGGCTCTCAGCGAAAGCGATTCTGTCGAGAAAGATGCTATGGTGAGATTACTTCTTGTTGTATTTGTTGATCACTTGTTGCCCACCCTGCCCACTTTCTACCTGCCCTTTGCTTACAATGTCGTGGAAGTATCATCATCATGTGCTGTCTCTTCGTAGTGTTCCCATTTCCATTTTCCCTCAATATACAAATTAATATTAGACTTTTCATAAAAAACTGCATTCTAGCTTGAAACTCGAAATTCGAATTGGATAAGTTATTTGCAAATATTTTTTGGAGAGAGCAATTGTGATTCGATGACCAAGAATCGACTTTTAAACTTGAGCTAAAACTCTGGAAGCAATCACTGTGATATGGATAAGCTATCGATAGTGATCGAATCGCTGACAAAGCCACGATATGAAGAGGATTTCGTCGATCGGTTGAATTATCACATCACTACACTTATACTACTTATTGCTGCATTCACTATAATAGCCAAGGTTTCTCGTTGATTAGATCCATTACACTGATTCATTTCTCGAAATGACAAATGACGTTGGATAAATGTCCTTTCTTCAATGTGCGCCCTTTTCCACTGAAGAAAGCGCTTTACAAAATACTCTGTGAACAATCTGCGCAACCCATTCCACTCTTCAAAGTGGCTTAATTGACCTTTCATCATTTCCATCAGTTGTTACCCACCCCAATTCTCGCTTCTTTCCCTTTCTTCACTATAATTATTACCCATTCTATTGAAATATTGTAAGTGAGAAACTTCCTCGATCATTCATTCTACTATAATGAAGGAATTTAATAATATCTAACCTATCATTCACCAAGTTCACTTTCACTCTACACGGAAATCATTTTCTCTTTGTACAGCAAAACGTCACACTCCCTTTCCCTTTCAGATTGGATACTGTAGCACCCTGTTACCCTACCCATTCAACAACTCAATCGTCCTGCTTACTCGTACCCTCACCCTTTCCAAGGATTTCTCGACTGTTGTTACCCTACCCATTCAACAACTCAATCGTCCTGCTTACTCGTACCCTCACCCTTTCCAAGGATTTCTCGACTGTTGTTACCCTACCCATTCAACAACTGATTCGTCCCGCTTACTCCACTTAATATTGCTTTCTCCACCATCTCTGAATTCACCTATACTCAATTACGGTAGTGATAAGTGACACTGTTACTTTTGTCATCATTAATTTCACTTTAAACATATACTGAAAGGATGACAAGAGAGAGAGAGAGAGAGAGAGAGAGAGAGAGAGAGAGAGGGATTAGGATGAGAAGACCGTTTAAGAAAGTTGAATCATTTCTTGTCACTCATGAATTTTCTTTCTCAGTAATTCATATCAGTTAGCTTTAAGGTAAGTAAAATTCTGTTATGACAGATTCAGAGAAGGAGAGAAAAAGAGGAAAGGAAAAGGGAAGAATCTGCTTGATATGAAGTAAATATGGCAGAATAGAATTTCTGATCTGATTCATGGATGAATGGTCCTTTAAGCATTACTATAAGCTTATAGATCAATAAAATAGGAGCGAAAAGAAAGAGAATATTACATTTAAAATGGATGGAAACGAATTGAACTGATAAAATTCATTGGATGATTGTTTGACCGATGAAAACATCACAGAACTGTGTTAAAAGCTCAGGATTTCCTCCTGCTTAATAGAAAGTATGAAGGAATTCAATCTTGAATTTGTAGGAGTATGGCGGTGACCCGATTCAATGTTGGTTACCTGCCGAATTAGCATCCCAGAAATCATGGGAACAGTATGCGGAGGACTACTGCTTTGTGGAGAACACGTACTACATTCCGCTAGAGCAGAACATGCCGCAGAGCGAGAAGCACCGCGACGAGAGACTGATCACTTATTATCAAGTAAGGGCATCGACGCATTCATTTGTTTCTTGCGGACTGGTATTCTGTTTGGACCAGTTTGGATGGATAGGTATGTTGGTATAATGATGTATCTGAATAAGTCTGGTCTGAAGTACCATAAACTCGTCCGAACTGTTTCAGTGGGTACCGTTTACACTACTGCTGCAAGCGATGCTATTCGTGATACCTCACGTCTTCTGGAGAATGCTCAACTGGACGTCAAGTTCGTTTTGTCAAATGTCAAGAAATATTTGTAGGTTTATAAGTGTGCGTCTTTTAATTTAAGTATTCAAAGAGCTTGAGGGAATTCCATTGTTTCTTTTAATCATATTCAGTTCTCTTGTAGACGTGCAGACGCGTGCAGTAATATCAATGGCGGACAGCGTGCGTCAAATGGATCCTTGTAGTGATGAAGCGCGTGATACTGTGAATGCCATCGCCAGTCACATTTATCATGCTGAGAAATCCACCAAACATTTGCATAAAATATTGCAGAACAGTAATTTGCTTGTCATCTTTACAAGGTACCATAATATAACATTGGTTTGGAGTGACAGATAGTTGTTGAGATTCACTTATCATGTCGACGCTTTAATAATAATGTCGAGAACGTCTGCCCTTACGTGATCAGACGGATCCCCAATGTGTAATAGCCTGACTAGTTATGTAATTGGAATGTTGTTTCAGGATGTTTACCCAATCTTATCTCAGTACAGTCTATCTGATAACCAAATTGTTATTTGTAGCAAATGCAACAGTGCAGGTGAGAGCAGATGAATTTTCTAGGACTTTTTACCTCTTTGATTTCACTTAATTTGAAATTCAGTGGTTTTAAAGCATATAGCACTCATTTTGCGAGAAGCAATTGTACTGCAGTTTGTAAATTTGTCCATTTTCAGTTTTGGATAGTATCACTTTATTTGGGCGGTAATGGCTACGATTTGACGAGAGCACTACTGAGACAGGAAACCTGGCAAAACACTGGTCTTTTCCCAAGGGTTACCATGTGTGACTTTAAGGTTCGTTCTCTTCCAAGAAAGAAAATGTGCCATGAAGGACTGACGATGTATGTCAACGAAAACAGAACAATAAAACGCAGAAATTCAGATCCGTGTCATGGGCAACGTGCACCGCCACACCATTCAATGCGTCCTGATGGCGAATATGTTCAACGAGAAGATATACGTTGCTCTGTGGTGGTGGTTTCTGGCGGTAATCACCCTAACAGTTGTCAACTTCTTCTATTGGATCTACACGCTAAATTCAGTCACTTCAAGTCATCAGTTTCTGATTGGACTCGTCACACTCGGTGTCAGTTTAGTTCCAGTTAGATAGAATGGCACAGGTGCACATGCATGTGCATTTGTCGTAGTGTCCTCATAACGTGACTGAAACAGTTACTTTAATACCTCCGTTTAAGCTTACCTGATGTCATTAATTTTTAGCAACCGCAAGAAAAAATGACAAATCATCTCATGCAACTCTTTGTTGAACAGTTCGTCGGCGATACAGTATTGGTATTAAGGCTGGTGACGCAAAATGCCAGCGAATTGGTTGCAAGTAGCATCACCGCCCGCTTGTTTGACATTTTTGCTAAGAAAAGGTAAAGCAGCAGAACATTTTCCGGAATGACCGGTCGTCATTCCAGTTCTTCTTTTGTGTCTTGCAATGCAATTCTTCGAGATAAAATGATCTCTTCTTTCTAATTAAGGAAGACTTGGATGGATCACACTCATTAGAACTGTTTCAATAATACTCTATTACAGTACCACTGGGCACGTCCCGATTTGCCTTACCATAGTCACATAGGCCAGTCTCGTGTCCAGCAGCGCCACTAACGTTTGCTGGCGGCTTAATGGACATACCTGATTGCACACATACGAACAATTTTGTCCTAGCACCTACATCCTTGCCAGTCTTAGCTAAAACCTCTTCGGTCTCTCTAATATATACTACAGGTAAACGCTATCTTTTCCCCATTAGTTTATTCAAGCTTTATACTTCTTTTTTTTTTTTTTGAGATGAGTAAGACCTGACAGGAATATACCTGTCAGGTCTTACTCATGCGTTTTATTTTCGAACCCTCAGTACAAACTGAGCTCATTTAACGAAATGTAGAGAAAGGCTTGGGCTAGAAAACCTTATCTTATCTTGAAACTAGAGGTCCTTCTTATCATATCATATCAGAGAGTTACCCCATGCAGTACTCATCCACAACACTAGCCAATCAGTCACACCGATCTCTGTTTCTTCAGTTTCCCAGGACAATCCTGCAAAAGATTTGATGCTGAGTAAACTGCAAATGCCTCATGCAGGATTCTTGCAGAACGGAAAACGAACGGAACACTTGCCGCAATGAAGAAAAGACCCGAAGAGATCTGAAGATAACCCTTACAACGTCGACGTCGTCTCCTGAACTGCCATCACAGGTGGTCAAGAGATGAGGAAGCCAATAGTCATTGCTTCCGTGTCATTCTATTTCCAAATTCATCCTTCCCCTCCGCATATGTTCTCGGTTGCATTTTCAAATGAGATATTCAATTTTTGAATATTGAAATCGAGAAATATTGCAAGATATTTCCATTTTATATTATTTCTTTATGAATCTCTTCTTTGCTTCATACTGAGATATGCACATTTCAGGCTCTGTTCCATAGTATCTTCAAAAGAATAACCTTAACCACCTGCTTGAATATTCTAAATGTGTCCCACGAACACGATTCAGAACGCTTCCCAATAGTGTTACATACTAATTCAACAATAAATATCGAAAAGCAAATAGAAAATTAAGTAAGAAAAGCTAAAGGCTTGGATCACACAGTTTTAGTTCAGTTCTAACTAGTGGGAACACATTTTTGTTGATAAAGCAAGGTCGAGAACTGAGGAATCATCCTGCATAATGAGAAACTAAGAAAGTTATTACTATTGTTGCACACACACACACATATATATATATATATATATAGAGAGAGAGAGAGAGAGAAGGACAGTCTGAAAATATATGAGACAAGAAATTGATACAAAGTGAAATTGAACAAAATGTGACACAATGAAACGTGACACCTCCTTAACTTAACTCTAAAACATACATCTGAAATAATACAAATACCGGAAATGAGAAGGAAAACCCGCAGTTGAAGTAATAGTAGCGATGATGGGTATGAGCGGTGTGGTGTGAAATTAAAAGATAATTAAAAAGATGGTACGAATACCACAAACAGACACACCTGAGATGATTCGATTAACTACTGGATTAGCATTACTATTTACTATAGATATAACGCAGATCAATGAGTATTTCAGAACTTTCACCAAAAAATTTAGTGACGTGAAAATTATTCACATATCACCTAATTACTATTACGGGATGCAAGCTTTGGTGGAATAATTAATTCGCTAAAACAGATGAGTAAGTTTCAAATCACTCACCTCACCATCTATCATCTAAGTAAATCACATTGTCGTGTTGTAATATGGCATGTTCTAATCATTTGCTGAACATGTTACAGTTAGTAAATCAATTCGAACAATTAAGCAACATATTTTACATTAATACATGAGTATGGGTCACACGTTACTCTCGGGATTTCCAGATGCAATATGTAAGGAATGGAAGGTTAAGAATGAATGTCACAACAATTAAAAGGTATAATATCTGGTCGGGAAACAAATCAAGGATATCTCTCTAACCTAATTTTCTTCTTTCTCTTCAATTACTGCAAATTTGTAGAATAAAAAAGACTTGCAAAACGATCGAATGCGTCAATAAGTTAATCAAGAGAAAAGAATTTGAAAAAAATGAACTGAGGAGATAGAAAAGAAGGAATAGCACATTCGAAAGAAAAAAAAAAAGAAAAAACGAAGTAAGGCCTTATCCAAAAATCAAAAAATCCCGGAGTTTATTAGTATTATGAGGATCCGTTCCACTGCAACAAAATGAAAATGATAAAAACCATCCTTGAACAGTTATCTTACAGCATTATAGATATAAGCAAAAAAATTTAATTGAATTTCTCAGGAAGAACTGAGATTAAAGAGAAACAGCTGGAGTGATGAATTTGTAGCATTATATGATAGCAGGTACAACGAGCAACTTTCGACAGTTAGCATAGAAACTTTTAATTAATAATTAATAGAAACCAATAGTGATACATTTTAATTAATTTGAATCATTCCAGTTCCAAACAACACTTGCATCTCCCGCTATCGTGAAAGTGTTGAGGCAGAGCGTGGATCAGTAGTCGATTGCGTTGAAGAAACTACACCCGAATCACCGTATTCCGTCAGATGTACCACAGGTTGCTCATCCATCGGAGCAAACAAATACAGTGGTACAGTCCTGTGAAACAAAAGTGTTAACTTGAGTCTTTTCTCGAAATGTGATTTATAAAAATTTTAGATAGCTAGAGAATGATATGAAACCTATAAAGCGCATCTCGAGCATCCTGTCTTCCGAGTTCCTCGAGAACAGTACATAATCGACCAACGGTTGCTGTTTCTGGGCATTGCAATGCCCATTCCGCTAAGAGTTGATCGGTTCTCGAGAGACTTTGTCCTGTTGAATCTACTTCCGGCAGCTGATCTGTCAGATTTAACTTCACCGCAAGGATAGACCTAAATTATTGATTACATCAAGGTTAAATATGTTAGAATAAAATGGCTTCAAACAAATTTCAACAAAACCAACCAATCTCTGCCCATGGCATCTGATGGATCCAAAAGAGCAGCTAGTTCACAACGAGATGCAAGTTGAAGCTGTGCAACTCCAACGTCGATACCAAGCGTTAGCAAAGCAGCTACATCGCGCGATCCGAAACACACAACATCTGTGAACAGCTCATCACCTTCCTGATTATTACGAATAGTTAATGATTCCGCCTGCTGCATTGCCATAATTGTTTCCGGAGCATAAACTGCCGGATTTGAAAAGTGTTCCTGAAATATGATGCTTAAACTAAATAGATCTCTGGATTTACTGACATTTTTTCATAAAATCGAATAGAAAGATAAGAGAAAAGATTGGGAATGAATGAATAAAGGTGAATACGAAGCGTATTTCAATCAAAGCATCAAACAAACCAAAGTTCTCATCCGGCTAATTTAGCAAACTTAAGAACAAACTGTGTAGGTGTGACATGAGCCTAACATGGCATGAAAGTACATCTCACTAGTGTACCTTAGGAAATTTTGGTCGAATAATGTCAATCTGAATTATGAATTTGTGTGATTTAAAGGAGTTCAAACATAACTATATGCAAGCTTACTCGTAGGTGTTTGGGAGAAAGAAAGTGTCGTTCAAGCGAAATGCCCGGTGCTACTTCTTGAGCTGTTTGTTCTACAAGATTCGTTATATCTTCTAGGAAATAAAAACATGATGTGGCTATTTCACATGGACCGCGTACTTGAATTTCGACCGCATCACCGTGTAAACGAACTAATGCTTCCATTTGGCCAGAGCTCATTTTACTGCAACTATTCCATTGCATCAGATCTGCGTCCATCGGATCCTAAAATCTGATCACATCTTGTAGAATCCAACACACAAAAAAAGGGAAACACTGATAAGCTTAAGTCAAGCATTTACAGAAAATAATAATTTTATGTAACTGCTGCACGCTTACATTTTTCACTGTTTCAAATTCTCATGAATTGACATCTTAATAGAAAACTGAATAGATTTAGACCTAAGTTGAAAGGAACATTCGCAATAAACACATTATGACCTGAAAATCATGCATCGACCGACGTAACGCAACCTGTATGCGCGGAAATGTACTCTGAAGTGAACGCTCCATTCCACGCATTGGTAAAACCCGTACTCCGCCATAAACATACGTTGGTCGATCCCGTTGCCAAATATCTCTAAAATGTACTTATTAAAATTGCAAATTTTGACCTGATAAGTGACTAAATTCCGATTACTACAAAAAAAAAGGGAATTTTGAAAATCCCAAGGAAATTACAGGGTAAAAAACTAACAAATGAAATTTACTAATTAAATTCACAGTACCATGAATGCAACAATCCAACTGTACTTTACATGGATTGAAAAAAATCCAAAATGAAATATAATTTTTTAGAAAGTAAGTGAAAAAATTATCAAAAAGTTACTTCGGAGGATCTAATACATTAAAAGCTGGGAATTCAAATTCTGCTTCACCATCAGAATCAGTAGGCGCACACAGTTGCAATGTGTCCAAAATCCTTAATAAATCTGCTGGGTCCGCAATTTCCGGATATATTGGTGCGAAGTCGTCGATAGAATAACAACCATTTATACGACAATGTGACAAGAATTCTGCGGATAGGAGATTACCCAGCACATGGGTACCAAGCCATTCTGGTGACAATACGACATAATCCAGTTCTGATACCTCATCCCGCAGATAAACGACCTAAAAGAACTCAAATCTGATTCTAAGAAAACTGCATTTCTTCTTTCACTTCAAAGTAACTCAATAATTACACGGTAAATGGTTAACTTTTCGCACTAATCGTGCAAGAATATAATCAATTGCACACCTTACCTCATACCAAAACAAAACACATAGTCTCACCCTAATTTCCCATATTTTTTCCTCTATTTCCATTCATTACCATTATTGCT